TGCTCTCCTATACGACCAGTTTTAATGAAAAATATATATTAAACCTAAGCTGCAGAAATGCAGTTGAAAATGGCTGGTACTATATGTGCCCAGGTCAGTACATATAGTCTAGCGCAGTGGTTCTCAACCTTTCTAATGCTGTGACCCCTTAATGCAATTCCTCATGTTGTGGTGACCCCCAACCACAACATCATTTTTGTTGTGACTTCATTACTGTAATTTTGCTAATGTTATGAATCCTAATGCAAATATCTGATATGTGGGATGTATTTTCATTCACTGGACCAAATTTGGCACAAATACCCCATACGCCCAAATCTGAATACTGGTGGGTTTGGAGGGGGGATTGATTTTGTCATTTGGGAGTTGTAGTTGCTGGGATTTATGGTTCATTCAAATTAAAAGAGCATTCTGAACTCCACCAACAATGGAGTTGAACCAGATTTGGTACACATAACTCTCATGACCAACAAAAAATACTGGAAGGGTTTGGTGGACATTGACCTTGAGTTTGGGAGCTGTAGTTCACCTACATCCAGAGAGCACTGTGAACTCAAACAATGATGTATCTGGACCTAACTTGCGAAGATTCAATATGCCCAAATGTGAACACTGGTGGAGTTTGGGGAAAACAGGACCTTGACATGGGAGTTGTAGTTGCTGGGATGTATAGTTCACCTACAATTAAAACGCCTTCTGAACCCCACAAATGATAGAATTGGGCCAAACTTCCCACACAGAACCACCATGACCAACAGTAAATGCTGAGTTTTGTGATGGTCTTTGGCGACCCCTCTGACACCCCTTTGTGACGCCTCCAGGGGTCCCGACCCCTAGGTTGAGAAACACTGGTCTAGCGCTTCTCAACCTGGGGGTCAGGACCCCTGGGGGGGGGGGGTTGCAAGAGGGTGTAAGAGGGGTCGCCAAAGACCATCAGAAAACAAGAGTATTTTCTGTTGGTCATGGGAGTTCTGTGTGGGAAGTTTGGCCCAATTCTATCGTTGGTAGGGTTCAGAATGGTCTTTGATTGTGGGTGAACTATAAATCCCAGCACAACAAGGCTGAAATTTGCACATGCCTGTTCTAGAACTATGAACTTTCTTTGCATTTTCTCAGAGTTTGAGGAAAGTCACTCTTCTGAACACATTCCATCAGTGTTCACATATGGGTATATTGAGTATCCATACTAAGTGTGGTCCAGATCCATCATTGTTTGAGTCCACAGTGCCCTCTGGATGTAGGTGAACTACAACTCCCAAACCAAAAGACACTGCCCACCAAACCCTTCCAGTATTTTCTGTTGGTCATGGGAGTTCTGTGTGCCAAGTTTGGTTCAATTCAATCATTGGTGGAGTTCAGAATGCTCTTTGATTGTAGGTAAACTATAAATCCCAGCAACCACAACTCCCAAATGTCAAGGTCTATTTTCCCCAAACTCCACCAGTATTCACATTTGGGCATATTGTGTATTCGTTCCACTTTTGGTCCTGATCCATGGTGGGGTCTAACCAAAGCGGAATAGAGGGGTAGCATGACTTCCCTAGATCAGACCACACCTGGAATACTGTGTCCAATTCTGGGCACCACAATTGAAGAGAAACATTGACAAGCTGGAATGTCTCCAGAAGAGGGCGACTAAAATGATCAAGGGTCTGGAGAACAAGCCCTATGAGGAGCGGCTTAAAAAGCTGGGCATGTTTAGCCTGAAGAAGAGAAGGCTGAGAGGAGACATGATAGCAATGTATAAATAGGTTCTTGTGGGTTTTTTCGGGCTATAGGGCCATGTTCTAGAGGTATTTCTCCTGACGTTTCGCCTGCATCTATGGCAAGCATCCTCAGAGGTAGTGAGGTCTGTTGGAAATAGGAAAATTGGGTTTATATATCTGTGGAATGGCTGGGGTGGGGCAAAGAGCTTTTCTCTGCTGGAGCTAGGTGTGAATGTTTCAACTGACCACCTTCATTAGCATTTGAAGGCCTGGCTGAGCCTGGGAAAATCTTTTGTTGAGAGGTGTTAAGATGTGCCTGGTTGTTTCAAAATCTGGCTACCAGTATTAAAAAACTCTAAAATTACAACAGCAAAACAGCAGAGGAGGAAACAACCAGGCACATCTTAACACCTCTCAGCAAGAGATTTTCCCAGGCTCAGCCAGGCCTTCAAATGCTAATGAAGGTGGTCAGTTGAAACATTCACACCTAGCTCCAGCAGAGAAGAGCTCTTTGCCCCACCCCAGCCATTCCACAGATATATAAACCCATTGTCCTAATTCCAACAGACCTCACTACCTCTGAGGATGCTTGCCATAGATGCAGGCGAAACGTCAGGAGAAATGCCTCTAGACATGGCCCTATAGCCCGAAAAAACCCACAAGAACCTAGTGATTCCAGCCATGAAAGCCTTCGACAATACAATGTATAACAGCGTTTCTCAACCTGGGGGTCGGGACCCCTAGGGGGGTCACGAGGGGGTGTCAAAGGGGTCCCCAAAGACCATCAGAAAACACAGTATTTTCTGTTGGTCATGGGAGCTCTGTGTAGGAAGTTTGGCCCAATTCTATCATTGGTGGAGTTCAGAATGCTCTTTGGTTGTAGGGGAACTATAAATCCCCGCAACTACAACTCCCAAATGTCAACTTCTGTTTTCCCCAAACTCCACCAGTGTTCACATTTCAGCATATCGGGTATTTGTGCCAAGTTCGGTCCAGATCCATCATTGTTTGAGTCCACAGTGATTGTTGCAATCCAGAGTAGAGAACGAGGCCTAAGATAACTATCCACCACACTTGGCTGTGAAAAACAATCCTTTTTTATTGAAGAAAAATGGTTACAAAATAAAGGAAAAATGCAAGTCAAAAGCCACAGCAAAATCAGCAAACATGAATTTAAATGGACAAAGCAAAACCAAAAGCCTCTCTGGGAAATACTTGAATCTGTTAGCAATCCACTAACCGTACTTGATATCCTAGAAATCTTTCCCAAACTATGGCCAGGGAACCGGGAGAACTGCCAAGGTCTTCATCAATTCTGAAACGATGCCTGAACTGAGGCAATCAGCCTGGCGTATTGCAATTAAAACTCAAGAATCGGTTCCGTGAACCGCCCTTCTGTTTTGAAGCCAATGTTTTTAATTCTTGAATTCGGGAGGATCGACGCAAACTGAGTGTTTTACTTCTGTCTTCCCAAATTTGGCCCCTTCTGTTGTCATTACAGTTAACAGGTGCAGAAGGGAGGGAAAGTTCAAGGTCTCCCTCTGAAACATTCTCATGAACACTGGTACTTTCATTTTCCAAATCTACAGAAGTTCCTTCCTCACTAATTTCAGGAACATTGGCATTTTCCAAACCTACAGCAGTTTCTTCCTCACTAATTTCAGGAGCATTGACATCAAAAGGTACATTTCCACTAGCATCAGTAAATATACTTTCATTAGCATCAGGAGGAACAAACAGAGAATCAGGTTCAAGTTCAAACTCAGGCTGAACCCCAACAGTGATCTCTGGTTGTAGGTGAACTACAACTCCCAAACTCAAGGTCAATGCCCACCAACCCTCCCAGTATTTTCTGTTAGTTATGGAAGTTCTGTGTGTCAGCTTTGGCTGATTTCCATTGTTGGTGGAGTTCAGAATGCCATGGGAGTTCTGTGTGTCAACTTTGGCCGATTTCCATTGTTGGTGGAGTTCAGAATGCCATGGGAGTTCTGTGTGTCAACTTTGGCCGATTTCCATTGTTGGTGGAGTTCAGAATGCCATGGGAGTTCTGTGTGTCAACTTTGGCCGATTTCCATTGTTGGTGGAGTTCAGAATGCCATGGGAGTTCTGTGTGTCAACTTTGGCCGATTTCCATTGTTGGTGGAGTTCAGAATGCCATGGGAGTTCTGTGTGTCAACTTTGGCCGATTTCCATTGTTGGTGGAGTTCAGAATGCCATGGGAGTTCTGTGTGTCAACTTTGGCCGATTTCCATTGTTGGTGGAGTTCAGAATGCCATGGGAGTTCTGTGTGTCAACTTTGGCCGATTTCCATTGTTGGTGGAGTTCAGAATGCCATGGGAGTTCTGTGTGTCAACTTTGGCCGATTTCCATTGTTGGTGGAGTTCAGAATGCCATGGGAGTTCTGTGTGTCAACTTTGGCCGATTTCCATTGTTGGTGGAGTTCAGAATGCCATGGGAGTTCTGTGTGTCAACTTTGGCTGATTTCCATTGTTGGTGGAGTTCAGAATGCTCTTTGATTGTAGGTGAACTATAAATCCCGGCAACTACGAGGACAAAAATAATCCCTCCCCAAATCCCACCAGTATTCAAATTTGGGCGTATCGGGCTTTTGTGCCAAATTTGGTCCAGTGAATGGAAATACATCCTGCAGATCAGATATTTACTTACATGGCGATTCATAACAGTAGCAAAATGAGAGTTGTGAAGTAGCAATGAAAATAATGTTATGGTTGGGGGTCACCACAACATAAGGAACTGTATTAAGGGGTCACGGCATGAGGAAGGTTGAGAAACACTGATGTATAAATATGTGAGGGGAAGCCACAGGGAGGAGGGAGCAAGCTTGTTTTCTGCTGCCCTGGAGACTAGGACACAATGGAACAATGTTTTCAAACTACAAGAGAGGAGATTCCATCTGAACATGAGGAAGAACTTCCTGACTGTGAGGGCCGTTCAACAGTGGAACTCCCTGCCCCGTAGTGTGGTGGAGGCTCCTTCTTTGGAGGCTTTTAAACAGAGGTTGGATGGCCATCTGCCAGGAGTGCTTTGAATGCAATATTCCTGCTTCTTTCCCCCTGAGGTCTCTTCCAACTCAATGATTCTATGATTCCTTCCTTCCAAAGAGCGAGCAAGCGACCTTTTGCATTGCCTTCATTTCTGGGAAAAGAAAGCGATGCGAAGAAAGGGAGCCGCACGGATCTTTCTCTGATTGGCGGTGGCTTTCCTTCCTTCCTTCCTCGGGGTTTCTCATTGGCGGAGAGAGTGCCCCAGATGTACACTCCCCCCACCCACGACCCAACCTCATGGAGATATAGACGCCGAGAGAGACGTCTTGGGAAGGCAAAAGTCTTTGGAGCCTGCGGGGAAGAGATCAGCCTGGCTGGAAGCTGCCCAGATGTGGAGGTCAGTGCTGCCCTGGGGTCCAGCCTGGGAGGGAAGGGTGGGCTGGGACAGAAAAGGGCACAGCCTGCACTGCTTGGCTTTCTACTTTAGTACTATTAGTATACATTCTTCTTCTTCTTCTAATATTATTATTATTTTATTCATACCCCGCTTTATCTCTCCCAAAGGAGATTCAAAGCAGCTTAACATGAAGGCATCAGCATACAGTTTAAAATATATTATTCATATTGTTTTATATTGTTATTGTTATTATTATTATTATTATTATTATATAATAATCATCATCATTATTTATACCCTGCTTTATCTCTCCTGAAGGGGACTTAAAGCAGGTTAACATGAAGGCATCAGCATACAATTTAAAATATATTATTAATTATATTGTTTTATATTGTTATATTATTATTATTATTATTATTATTATTATTATTATTATTTATACTCTGCTTTATCTCTTCCAAAGAAGACTCAAAGCATCTTAACATTAAAAAGCATCTGCATAAAATTTAAAATATATTATTATTATGTTTATTTATACCCCACTTTATCTCTCCTGAAGGAGACTCAAAACAGCTTAACCTGAAGGCATCAGCATACATTTAAAATATATTATTACTTATTTTGTTTTTATATTGTTATTATATATTATTATTATATTTATATTTCCCAAAGAAGACTCAAAGCATCTTAATATGAAAGCATCAGCATACAATTTAAAATATATTTTTATTTATATAGTTTTTATATTGTTATTATTATTATATTATTATTATTATTATTAATAATAATAATAATAATAATACCCTGCTTTATCTCTCCCAAAGAAGACTAAAAGCAGCTTAACATTTAAAAAGCATCTGCATACAATTTAAAATATTATTATTATTATTATTATTATTATTATTATTATTATTATTTGAAACACAACAAGATGAGTCCACAGCAAACACTGCTGGCTCTTGTATTGGATCACACGTCGGACACTTCCCAAGTGTCTAGGACTGTGTGATGTATCGGTGCAGACCCCAGTAAGGTGGCCTTCTGCAGATGGCAGATGGTAATTTTGTCAGCGCCAATTGTGTTTAAGTGCAGGCCAAGGTCTTTAGGCACTGCACCCAGTGTGCCGATCACCACTGGGACCACCTTTACTGGCTTGTGTCAGACTGTTTGCATTCGATCTTTAAATCCTCATATTGTGTCAGCTTTTCCGGTTGTTTCTCTTCAATCCTGCTGTCGGATGGGATTGCAACATCGATGATCCACACTCTGTTTTTTAACACTTATTATTATTATTATTATTATTATTATTATTATTTTATTCATATCCTGCTTTATCTTTCCCAAACGAGACTCAAAGCAGCTTAGTATTAAAAAAGTATCTGCATACAATTTAAAATATATATTATTATTTATATTGTTTTTTATGATTTATTATTATTATTATTATTATTATTATTATTATTATTATTATTTATACCCCCACTTTATCTCTCCCAAAGAAGACTCAAAGCAGCTTAACATTAAAAAAAATCTGCATACAATTCAAAATATATTTTTGCTATTAATATCATTATTATGTTTATTTATACCCCACTTTATCTCTCCTGAAGGAGACTCAAAGCGATTTAACATAAAAGTGTCAGGATACAATTTAAAATATATTATTATTTATTTTGTTATTATATTATTATTGTATATTATTATTTATACTCGTCTTTATCTCTCCCAAAGGAGACTCAGTGGCTTAACATAAAAAGCAGCCACATACAATTCAAATATATTATTTTATTAATGTTATTATAATATTATTATGATGTTTATTTATACTCTACTTTATCTCACCTCAAGGAGACTCAAAGTGGCTTAACATAAAAAGCAGCCACATACAATTAAAATATATTATTATTTATATAATAATAATATGATTATTTATACCCTGATTTATCTCTCCTGAAGGATACTCAAAAGGACTTAACACAAAAGTGTTAGCATACAATTTTAAATACATTATTTATATTGTTATTTATTACTATTATTATAGTATTTAATAATAATAATAATAATAATAATAATAATAATAATAATGCCCTGCTTTATCTTCCCCAAAGGAGACTCAAAGTGGCTTAACATAAAAAGCACCAGCATACAATTTAAAATATATTATTATTATTTCTATTACTATAATAAAATTATATTTATTTATACCCCTATTTATCTCTCTCAAAGGAAACTCAAAGCAGCTTAACGTAAAAGCAGCATACAATTTAAAATATATTATTATTTCTATAATAATATTATATTCATTTATACCCCAATTTATCTCTCTCAAAGGAAACTCAAAGCAGCTTAACATAAAAAGCATCAGCATACAATTTAAAATATATTATTATTTGTATTATTATTGTTATATTATTATTATATTTTCTATTATTATTTATTTTATTATTATGCTTATTTATATCCCACTTTATCTCTCCTGAATGACAGTCAAAGCAACTTAACATAAAAGCATCAGCATACAATTTAAAATATATTATTATTTGTATTATTATTGTTATATTATTATTATTATTATATTTTCTATTATTATTTATTTTATTATTATGCTTATTTATATCCCACTTTATCTCTCCTGAATGACAGTCAAAGCAACTTAACATAAAAGCATCAGCATACAATTTAAAATATATTATTATTATTATTTTACTGACACAAAAACACAGTATGACACAGCAAACAAGATATATATGGGTTGTTGTAGGTTTTTTCGGGCTATATGGCCATGTTCTAGAGGCATTCTCTCCTGATGTTTCACCTGCATCTATGGCAAGCATCCTCAGAGGATGTGAGGGGATATATATGCTGGATTTTGTATCACAAAATCATAAGTCGAACACTTCCCAAGCATTTAGGACTGTGTGAAGTATTTTCAAATGATGTGCACAGATCCAAGTAAAGTGTCCTTTTATTATTATTATTATTATTATTATTATTATTATTATTATTGTATTCTTTTTCTTCTTCTTCTTCTTATTATTATTATTATTTGTTTTGTCTCTCCCAAAGGAGACTTCAAGCGGCTTAACCTAAAAAAGCATCTGCATACAATTTAAAATATACCAACATGGCAAACATTAATATAATACAGAAGTAAATATAAACAGTTTTAACAAATTGCCAGTTAAAATCCAAGTGTATTTAAAGTTAGACTGCAAAGTCCTGCCGTCTAGCAGTTTACAGCCTTTTTACTCTGCCTTTTTCTTCCCATTGTTGTTGTTGTTATTATTATTATTATTATTATTATTATTATTATTATTATTATTATTATTAACCCTAAAAAAGACTCCAAGTGCCTGATATGAGATGGGTTGCATTGGTTTTAAAACAATGTGGCTTAGAATTGAATGCAGATACGCTCTGGACTTTGACTGCATCTACACTGTAGAATCAGTGCAGTTTGATACCACTTGAATGGACATGGCTCAATGCAGTGGAATCATGGGACTTATAGTTTGCTGAGAGAACCACACTCTTTGGCAGGGAAAACTAAAAGAGGTATTGTCAAAGGCTTTCATGGCCAGAATCACTGGGTTGTTGTAAGTTTTTCAGTCTGTGTGCTCATGTTCCAGAAGCATTCTCTCCTGACCTCACAAACTCTGATGATGCCTGCCACAGATGCAGGTGAAACGTTAGGAGAAAATGCTTCTGGAACATGGCCATACAGCCCAAAAATCTTACAATAACCCAAAGCTAAAAGACCTTGTCAAACTACAGCTCCCAGGAATCCATAGCATTGAGCTGTGACAGTTAAGGCATTTACAGACTTACCCGGGAGAAGGCATATGTTGTATTTCTATGGAAACAGTCTGGAATTTTACCCCAAATCCCTGTGCTTTCCCCCTGACTCGCTTCAGTGTATTGACCGGGGCTTTCAATAGAAGTACGTATTTTGCAAACTCTCATCTCTAATCTATTTCTGCGCCTGTCTTGCTTATTTTTGTATTTTTTACAGTTGTTTTGGGATCCTCTTTTTTTGTTGCTCTTGGATCTTTTCCATCACAACTTCTGAACGCAGCTTGGAAGAGTCTCTTTTTTTTCAAAGCTCCCATTATCCTCTGCTCATGCCGGTTGGAGGATTCTTGGGCTTCCAATGCAAAAGGCGACTTTCCCAAGCCGTGGTTGAGAGGAACTTCATGAATTTGCGAACAACTTTGACAAAAGTATTGCCGAAGGCTTTCATGACCAGAATCACTGGGTTGTTGTAGGTTTTTTTCAGGCTATATGGCCATGGTCTAGAGGCATTCTCTCCTGACATTTCGCCTGCATCTATGGCAAGCATCCTCAGAGGTAGTGAGGTCTGTTGGAACTAGGAAAAAGGGTTTATATATCCGTGGCATGACCAGGGTGAGACAAAGGACTATTGTCTGCTGAAACATTCACACCTATCTCCAGCAGACAAGAGTTCTTTGCCCCACCCTGGTCATTCTACAGATATATAAACCCCTTTTCCTAGTTCCAACATACCTCACTACCTCTGAGGATGCTTGTCATAGATGAAGGCGAAACATCAGGAGAAATGCCTCTAGACCATGGCCATATAGCCCAAAAAAACCTACAACTTTGACAAAAGTCTTCCAAATCCTTCCTTTTGCAGGATGTGTGACCGAAACGGCGGCAGGCGGCTGAGACAGTGGCTCATAGAACAAATCGACAGTGGCTTGTATTCTGGACTGATCTGGGAAAATGATGAGAAAACCATGTTCCGGATCCCGTGGAAACATGCCGGAAAGCAGGATTACAACCAGGAGGTGGATGCATCTATATTCAAGGTACTTTTTTCGCAGGCAGGAAAACCTTTCTTTTTGAGCTGTATGAGGTACAGATAGAACAGTGCTTCTCAACCTTCTTAATGTCACGACCCCTTAATACAGTTCCTTATGTTGTGGTGACCCCCAAGCAAAAAATTATTGTTACTGCTACTTCATATCTGCAACTTTGCTACTGTTATTATGTAAATATCTGATATGCAGGATGTATTTTCATCACGGGATCAAATTTGAATACTGGTGGGGTTGAGGGGATTAATTTTGTCATTTGGGAGTTGTAGTTGCTGGGATTTATAGTTCACCTACAATCAAAGAGCATTCCGAACTCCACCAACGATGGAATTGAAGCAAACTTGGCACACAGAACTCCCATGGCCAACAGAAAATACTGGAAGGGTTTGGTGGACATTGACCTTGAGTTTTGGAGTTGTAGTTCACCTATATCCAGAGTGCACTGTGGACTCAAACAATGATAGATCTGGACCAAACATGGCATGAATACTCAATATGCCAAAATATGAACACTGGTGGAGTTTGGTGAAAATAGACTTTGCCATTTGGGAGTTGTAGTTGCTGGGATTTATAGTTCACCTACAATCAGAAAATTATGAACTGCACCAATGATAGAATTGGGTGAAACTTCCACACAGAACCCCCATGACCAATAGAAAACGTTGCGTTTTCTGATGGTCTTTGGCGACCCCTCTAAAAACCCCTCGCGACCCCTCCAGGGGTCCCGACCCCCAGGTTGAGAACCACTGAGATAGAAGATACGCAGTTCCTAATTTCCAAAAGTATTTGAAGGTGAGCTTTGTAATTGATCTGGAAGTCCAACATCACTTCCAGTTGGGATTAATCCTTAGCTTTTGGTGAGATTTGGTTGTGTGCATGTGTGGGTTTCTTTTGTGATTCGGGGTCAAAATATTTCCCCACATACACCTAGGAGCTTTGAGGTTGCCTTGCTAGATTTGGGAGGCCACTTAAATGGGGCAGTATTCAGTCTATGTTCTTACGTTATCCATCCCTGACTTAGCAAAACAATGAACAGAAATGGGGTTCAGAAGTACCCATCAAGGCACCTTGGTTTGTTGGAAAGGCTTTGCTCAGAGTCTTTCTTTGCTGGAAGACTTTTGACTCCTTCTGAGCAAAGGGAATCCTTTTCCCCGAGCAAAGGGAACCCAGATAAACAGAAATCCTACTGTTTATCCCGTAGGCTTGGGCCGTCTTCAAAGGGAAATTCAAAGAAGGTGACAAAGCCGAACCGGCCACTTGGAAGACGAGGTTACGCTGTGCCTTGAACAAGAGCCCGGACTTTGAAGAAGTGACCGACCGCTCCCAGCTGGACATCTCAGAGCCCTACAAAGTCTACCGCATTGTTCCAGAGGAAGAACAGAAATGTAAGTCTCGCGAAGCCAAAACCTATACTCAGCAGAATCTCACGGTGTGGCTCCGTACAGTCAGCAGATTTCTCACAGTGTTTTTCTTGTGGGATTCGGCCGCTGTGGATCGAACGCATGAGGACAATTGTTTCAAGGAGGGATGGGAAACACTTGAGGCTTTCCAAATATTGTTGGATCTGCAACACCAGTCAGCTTTAACCTGGAGTTGATGGTGAAGGATGACAGGAGGTGTAGTCTAACCTTTGTAGGAAATGTCAAAGGCTTTCATGGCTGGAATCACTGGGTTGTTATAGGTTTTTCAGGTTGTATGGCCATGTTCTAGAAGCATTCTCTCCTGACATTTCACCTGCATCTGTGGCAAGCATCCTCAGAGGTTGTGAGGAAAAACCTCACAACCTCTGAGGATTCTTGCCACAAATGGAGGCGAAATGTCAGGAGAGAATGCTTCTAGAACGTGGCCATACAGTCCGAAAAACCTACAACAACATTCCACAAGCTGGAATGTGTCCAGAGGAGGGCGACTCAAATGATCAAGGGTCTGGATAACAAGCTCTATGAGGAGCGGCTTAAGGAGCTGGCATATTTAGCCTGAAGAAGAGAAGGCTGAGAGGAGACATGATAGCCATGTATAACTATGTGAGAGCAAGCCACAGGGAGGAGGGAGCAAGCTTGTTTTCAGGTTCCTTGGAGACTAGGACGCGGAACAATGGCTTCAAACTACAAGAGAGGAGATTCCATCTGAACATGAGGAAGAACTTCCTGACTGTGAGAGCTGTTCAGCAGTGGAACTCTCTGCCCCGGAGTGTGGTGGAGGCTCCTTCTTTGGAAGCTTTTGAACAGAGGCTGGATGGCCATCTGTCAGGGGTGATTTGAAAGCATTATTCCTGCTTCTTGGCAGAATGGGGTTGGACTGGATGGCCCATGAGGTCTCTTCCAACTCTTTGATTCTATGATTTGTAGGAACGCAATTTGTCCATGAGTATTGTAGGTCAAAACATTGGCTTCACCCTTCCATGTCTATATGCACTGAATTGACATTTTGACTATGTAACATTTTAATTAGGAAGATGTTTTTGTATCTCAGATCCCCAAATAATAATAATAATAATAATAATAATAATAATAATAATAATAATAATCTTTATTTGTACCCCGTCACCATCTCCCCAATGGGGACTCGGAGCGGCTTACATGGGGCCAAGCCCAAACAACGTATTACATCAAAATAAAACCAAAACATAAACAATAAGCAACATCATCAGAATTACATGGATAATAATAATAATAATAATAATAATAATAATAATAATAATAATAATTACAATAACAAAATAATATTACAATAAACAAAAAACACAGTCACAGTAAACAGTGGGAACAAGGCCACATGTACAGGATAAAATGTTAAAAACTCTATTGGTATACAATACTGCAGTATGGTTGTTGACTGCCTTCATATCATTCTAAAGTTATGATGACCCTATCATTGTGAGACCTCCTAGTCCCCCTATCCTCAAGAGACCTGCTCAAATCCTACAGATTTAGGACAACCATGGCTTGTGGCGCAGCTGGCTGAGTGTCAGCTGCATTAAGATCACTCTGACCAAAAGGTCATGAGTTCGAAGCCAGCCCGGGCTGGAGTGGGTGTCCAGCCATTATGTAGCCCGTTGTCGACCTTTGCAACCCGAAAGACAGTTGCATCTGTCAAGTAGGAAAATAAGGGACCACCTTGTGTGGGAGGCTAAATTTAACTAATTTATGAGGCCATAAAGAAAGAAGACTCCGGGGAATGTGGAATGCGGAAGAACTTCATCGGTGTCGTTGATGGACGATGAAAAGCAGCAGCTCCCCTGGCGGCCAGAAAAAAGTTAAATAGCCTTTGCCTGTTAAATGTTGTTTGTCAAACTGGCATTGAATGTTTGCCATATATGTGTTTACTGTAATCCGCCCTGAGTCCCCTGCGGGGTGAGAAGGGCGGAATATAAGAACTGTAAATAAATAATAAATAAATAAATAAATAAATAAATAAATAAATTTAACATAATAATATACTTTATTTATATTCTGCCCTATCTCTCCGAGGGGACTCAGGGTGGGTTACAGTACACATATACCACAAACATTCAGTGCCGTCATGCAATTAACAAACACGCACAGTACATAGAATCATAGAATCCTAGAGTTGGAAGAGACCTCGTGGGCCATCCAGTCCAACCCCATTCTGCCAAGAAGCAGGGAAATCGCATTCACATAAACAGAGGTAAAGGCTTCCCATCTTTTTCCATCTCTGGCATCTGGAGGCTGTGCTCGATTCCAGCCATGGGGGATGCTGTCGCTCCATTTTCCATGCTGAGGAGCTTTGTTATCCTTAGACACTTCCGATCGAATCGCTGGCATGTCTTCATGGGCACCTTTTATTACCTCCCCACCAAAGCAGTACCTATGTATCTACTCACATTGTTGTTTTCACACTGCTAGGTGAGCAAAAGCTGGGCTGATGGCAGGAGCTCACCTCAACCCGGGCTTCAACTGTCAGTCTTTTTTTTTTCCAAATAGTTTTTTATTTTTTCCTGCAAAATATAGGGTTACATGGAAAGTGGGAGAATATTTCCAAGAAGATAGAAAAGTAGGAAAAAAAGAAGTGCAGAGACGGGAATTTGAACAATGTGAAAAACTTAAAAAGTAAAAATAGAAAAAGTAAAAATAGTAAAAAAAAAGTAGACAAAAAATATTAAAAATAAAATAAAATCGGACTTCCCTCTATTGATTTGAAGATCTTATGTCTGTTTGTATAGAAAAATATTTTAATAACAGCTCCCTTTAGCGTCTTTCATCCTTTTGCTTAAATCATCTCTATTTTTTGGTGTTCAAAATAAGTTCTTACCAAGTCCCAGTTTGTTTGATTCTTTGGAATTCCTTCATTTGGCGATAGCCAATAAGTTAGTTCATCCATGTTCATTATTTCCAAAATTTTATTCTGCCAGTCTTCTCTTTTTGGTATTTCCTTCTGTCTCCATTTTTGGGCATATGCGATTCTGGCTGTGGTAGTTAAGTAGTTAAAAATCCTGGTTCCTTTTAAAATTGCATTTTCATAATTTTTTGTATCTCTTTGTATATCATGTTCCAAAATTCTTTTGCCTTTGGGCAGGTCCACCAAATGTGAAAAAAAGATCCTATCTGTTGTTCGCACTTCCAACATTTATTTGAAGCATTCTTGTAAAATTTGGAGATTTTTTGGGGTGTAATGTACCATCTATGGACCATCTTGATTATATAATAGGTATATATAATTATATACCTAGGTATATTTAATTTTTTTAGTCCAAAAGACTGTCAGTCTTTTGATTGGTAAGATTTTCTACAGCTGGCAGTTTAACCCACTGTGCTAAAGCCTGGTTTTCTCGATGGAGTCTTTCCAACTGTAATGCATTCTGTGGTGTAATGTAAAATAAACCACGTGTAGTTTACGTTTGATCAGCCCACACACTGCCTTTGCCAGAGAGAGAAAATATACCATCAGTTGAACAGTCAAGAACAAGTAGTTTACTCTCTTTAGTTTAGTAAAGGTAAAGGTTGTCCCCTGACATTAAGTCCAGTCATGTCTGACTTTGGGGTGTGGTGCTCATCTCCATTTCTAAGCCGAAGAGCCAGCGTTGTCCATAGACACCTCCAAGGTCATGTGGCCAGCATGACCACATGGAGCGCCGTTACCTTCCCGCCAGAGCGGTACCTATTGATCTACTCACATTTGCATGTTTTCGTACTGCTAGGTTGGCAGAAGCTAGGACTGACAGCGGAAGCTCACGCCGCTCCCTGGAGTTTTGTTAGTCTTTAGTTTAGAGCAACACATTTACAATCATGTGATCAGTTGCATCGACTCACATAATGTCCTTTTTACGAGAGGTTTAAAATAGTCTTTCTTTGTCCAATTGGATAAACTCCTTCAGTAGCTCATGAAGTGAGAACACACCAAAATCAGGAGAGATTTTTGCCCCTCAGCTTACGCGGCTGAGGGGCAAAAGGAAAGGGCCTGAGGCTGTTAGGAATGGTGGGAGTTGCAGTCCAAAGCACCCGGAAGTCCCAAGTTTCCCCATGCCTAATATCAAGGATGTGGAACAAACAGCATGACACGTACAACATGCATGAGAGTAAATGGTCAAGGGGCCCCTAGAAAAAGGCCATCCTCCAGCCTTTGCTGCCTGAGGCGGTGGCTTCACTCTTTCCCATGGTAAGGTTCAGCAACAAGGGGAGCAAACCTCCACTGCTGTTTATTGCCGTGTATTGCAGCAAAACGGAGCTGCCTTTTGAGGTTACGGTAACCGAACACAAAGCGGCTGCCTCTGAAATGACCAGTATGACATGAACCGCATTTTTATTTTTGTCTGTGGCTTTTTTTGGTGTGGTTTCTTTTCAAGCGTGCAAAAAGCGAGTTGTCAAGAGCTCCCTCCCTCCTGCTGAGCACACCTGAGTTTGGCTCGTACTCAAGCGTTTCTGGAAATCTCTTTTTTGCTTTGCTAAACCACCTGCCTTCTAGTATTTCATCAAGCAGGGTCTGTATTGTTACGGGTGAGATATGGAAGTCCTCCTCTTCCATGCAAACCAGGAGCTTCATTGGGTTGTTGTGAGTTTTCCGGGCTGTCTGGCCATGTTCCAGAAGCATTCTCTCCTGATGTTTTGCCTGCATCTGTGGCAGGCACCCTCAGAGGTTGTGAAGTCTGATAGAAACTAGGAAAAGTGGAATAATGTCCCAGGTGGGAGAAAGAACTCTTTTCAATTTGAGGTATGTGTGAATGTTTCAATGGCCATCTTGATTAGCATTTAATGGCCTAGCAGTTTCAAGGTCTGGCTTCTTACTGGACATTCCACAGATATAAAAACCCACTTTTCCTGGTTTCCAACAAACCTCACAACGCCTTGAGGATGCCTGCCATAGATGCAGGAGAGAATGCATCTATGGCAGAGAGGAGATTCCATCTGAACATGAGGAAGAACTTCCTGACTGTGAGAGCTGTTCAGCAGTGGAACTCTCTGCCCTGGAGTGTGGTGGAGGCTCCTTCTTTAGAAGCTTTTAAACAGAGGCTGGATGGCCATCTGCTTTGAATGCAATATTCCTGCTTCTTAGCAGGGGGTTGGACTGGATGACCCATGAGGTCTCTTCCAACTCTATGATTCTATTATTCGAATGCTTCTGGAACATGGCCATACAGTCCAAAAAACCTACAACAACCCAGTGATTCCGGCCATGAAAGCCTTTGACAACACTTAATATATGTAAAACTCACTTTCCTAGCTTCCAACAGACCTCACAACCTCTGAGGGTGCTTGCCATAGATGCAGGCGAAACTTCAGGAGAGAATGCTTCTGGAACATGGCCTCACAGCCCAATAAACCTCCACCAACCCATACATTCCAGCCATGAAAGCCTTTGACAACACTCAAGAGAATTCACTTTCAAACTAAAATGTCTCGAATCCACCAACCAACATGGCCAATCATAACATAATCAAAACAGTATATTTCCCAAGCCTTGCCAAATGCAAAGGGAGAAATTTATGGCCCAACTTTTCTTAGTAATTCACCCATTTAGCTCTTTTTGCCCTTTTCTTTTGCCATATTTCTCACCCCCTTTTCCCATTCTCAGACAGAGACGCTGTCCCTCATACAAAGCTTCAAGCCATGATCCAAAGTACCAACTCTGATAATGTGGTGTTTGGCTTTATTTTTCTTTCCAGGCAAAATGGGAATAGGAAATGGGTGCAGTTTGGGCGAAATCACGGACATGGAGTGCAGCGTTTCCACAATGGACGACTTGGTCAAAGAGGTGATTCAGTTCTTTTCCTCCTTTTCTTCCATAGATCCCTCTGAAATAATGATTGCCCCTTCACTCTCTCCAGGGCAGAACTCAGGAAAGTTCATTTTTTGGGAACAATGGTTGTTGTGTGCCTTCAGGTTGTTTCTGATTGATGGCAGCCTTAAGCTGAACCTTTTACAGAGGCTTTCTCCTTGGAAAGATTTGTTCAAATGGGCTTTGACATTGCCTTCCTCTGAGGCTGAGAGAGAGTGACTTGCCCCAAGAGATATTGACAAACTGGAATGTGTCCAGAGGAGGGTGACTAAAATGATCAAAGGTCTGGAGAACAAGCCCTATGAGGAGTGGCTTAAGGAGCTGGGCATGTTTAGCCTGAAGAAAAGAAGGCTTAGGGGAGACATGATAGCCATGTATAAATATGTGAGAGGAAGTCATAGGGAGGAGGGAGCAAGCTTGTTTTCTGCTTCCCTGGAGATTAGGACGCGGAACAATGGCTTCAAACTACAAGAAAGGAGATTCCATCTGAACATGAGGAAGACTGTGAGAGCCGTTCAGCAGTGGAACTCTCTGCCCTGGAGTGTGGTGGAGGCTCCTTCTTTGGAAGCTTTTAAACAGCCATCTGTCGGGGGTGCTTTGAGTGCAATATTCCTGCTTCTTGGCAGGGGGTTGGATTGGATGGCCCATGAGGTCTCTTCCAACTCTATGATCTATGAAATCACCAAGTCAGTTTTCATGGCTGACGAGATGAAATTTAGAGCAATTATTTCCCATTTCCCAATTATTTCACTTCTTCCAGTTTTAGAATTTTTGAGATTTCTGGATCAGGGAGATTCAACCTGTATTTATAGAAGAACTGGATCATATACCTAGCATTGTTCTCCAGATATTGCTGAATTTTCACTCCTATCAGTTTTAGCCAGATGGTGAGATATGCTGATAATCAACATCGGGAGAGCTACATGATTTCTATCCCTCTTCTAGCCATGGAAAACAATGGGGATATTTGTTGGGGAAACATCTGAACTGCTATATTCCATTCATGACAATGTTCCAGATTTTTAGGATTTTCCCACCTATCACCATGGCATTGATTTATGTTCTTTCCCTATACACTCCTTAGCCACAGTCCACTGTGGAGGAATATCTTGGCACCATAAAGCGAAGCCCTTCCCCAACACAGGAGAATTGCAGAAACCACCCAATACCAGATTGGTGGACGCATCAGTCAAGTCCTGGTAAGACGTTGAAATACCATTAGGAAGCATATAAATACCCTAATTCTATACTTTCCAATGCAAGATGAGACAATTGCAGGGAAGCAATAATAGACAGTGTCCAGGCAGCTGTTGGTAAAACATGGCAATGTTTACACAGCCTAAAGGAGAGGCGCTTCTAGGATTGTCCATTCTAATGTTTTTATGGATAACCTCAGTGGCCTGAGGCCCAGGAATTTTAATGGTACATGCTGTATTTATTAAGCTTGTTTATATTATTGAAAACGGCCTTGAAAACGGCCCGGAAATTTCAGTTGGTCCAACAGGCAGCGGCCAGGTTGTTAACTGGTGCTCCTTACAGGGAGAGGTAAACCCTCCTGTTTAAGGAGCTCCATTGGCTACCGTTCATTTACCGGGCCCAATTCAAGGTGCAGGTGCTTACCTACAAAGCCCTAAACGGTTTGGGACCCATCTACCTGCGTGACCACATCTCTGTATACGAACCTACACGATCTCTTCATTCACCTGGAGAGTCCCTGCTCAAGATCTCACCTGCATCGCAAGCGCAATTGGTGGGGACGAGGGACAGGGTCTTTTCGGTGGTGGCCCCATGACTCTGGAATTCCCTCCCCAAGGACATTAGGCAAGCCCCAACATTGGCAGTCTTTAGAAGGAGCTTGAAAATGTGGATGTTCCAGTGTGCCTTCCCAGAATAAGGAATCCTAAGCAGTATGTCCCAAATGCACTTTATGAGAGACTTAGAATGGTCTGCACGCCCACCTATCCTAAAATATCCATCCTATTTCCCTTGGACATACCCAGCATTTTTAATTTTAACCTTTGCACTTGGCCCTGCCACAGGTTTTTAAATGCGTCGTGTCATTATTGTACTGTTTTTTTGCTTTGTTATGAGTTATTTATTGTTGTATTGTTGTTGTTATGTTTTTATGATGTATTTGATGCACCGAGTCCTGCGGGAGATGGTATATCCCGTCCTCTCTCAACCTCCTCAGAGGGACTCAGGACGCTAACAAATCGGCATCCCATGGCGCCACATCAAAACATAAATATACAATTTAACAGCAATATTATAATAGCAATATAAAACAATATAAAACAGTATAAAACAATATAAAACAGTTTAAAAACAATCAAGCAGTCAGCGGTCACCGGTTTAAATCATCATCCAAGGGGCAGTCAATCAGTTCTGTATACGTTGTCACATCAGCAGGCCACCCTAATCTACGAAGGCCTAATCTACGAAGGCCTGATCCCATAGCCAGGATTTTACTTGTTTCCAGAAGGTCAAGAGGGATTTAATTTCACTCGGGAGGGAGTTCCACAGCCGGGGGCCACCACAGAAAAGGCCCTGTCCCTTGTCTCCGCTAGACACGATTGCGACAATGGGGGAACAACGAGCAGGGCCTCCCTGAATGATCTAAGTGGGATCGTAGTGGGAGATACATTCAGATAAGTAAACTGGGTTATTTAATGGGCAACTTGATTATCTGTTTATTTGGGGTTATGTTGTTGTGTTTTTCATGTCATGTAAATTTTTATTGTTTTAACCATTGTTCGCCGCTTTGAATCCCATCCATGGGAGAATATAAATAAACAAATAATAATGCAATATTCCAAATGTAGTTGACTGGGAGGAAGAGACTGCAGATGTTTGCTTTTGCCTAAACCTACTGGGAAGAGTAACATTATCTCAGTTAGAGACTGGGGAGGCGGGAAATCATGGGGAAGAGGCTAGCATTCCTACTGGGAAGACAATAGACTTGTTTTATCCCCTTGTCCAGTACAGGCAGTCCTGAATTACAAACATCCAGTTTACAAATGGCTCATAGTTCAGAACAGGGGTGAGACAACAGGAAATGAGAGAAATATTCTCCTAGAAGGGAAATCCTGAAAGAGTTGGGAAAATCTTGGGAAAAGGGGTCTCCAGTGAAGCTTTATCTCCAATCCTTGTCTCCAAAAGAAGCTAATTTTTCAAAATCCAATTCTCATAGGGACAGAAAGTGAGGTGGATTCTTCTGAACAGGAGCACAGGCAGCAAAGGAAACACTACAGGGGTGTTGACCCTTCCCTATGCGATCCAAAGTTTGCATCTCTCCCCCCCCCCCTCCAAAGCGTTGAATCACATAGGGAAGGGTTAACACTCCTGTAGTGCTTCCTTTGCTGCCTTAGCCCCTGTTCAGAAAAAATCCTCCTCACTTTCTTTCCCTGTGAGTATATATAGAGCCCAAGGCTTGTGACTTGGGCTTTCTAATGGCATTGATGCTCTCGGGAATTATATAGCTTACTTGTCCGAACACATCTCCCTCTACATCCCATCTTGCAATTTAAGATCAGCCAGGAGACCCTGCTCTCGCTCCCGCCAGCGTCGCAAATACGTCTGGCGGGGATGAGAGACACGGCCTTCTCGGCTGTGGGCCCCCCACCTGTGGAACTCACTTCCCAACGAGGTAAGATTGGCGTCACCCCTCCTGTCTCTTAGGAAGAAATTGAAGTTATGGTTCTGGGACCAGGCTTTTGGACAGCAGGCATAATAATAATAATAATAATAATAATAATAATAATAATAATAATAATAATCTTTATTTATACCCCGCCACCATCTCCCCAGTGGGGACTCGGAGTGGCTTAAATGGGGCCAAGCCCGGACAACATAGTACAGTGGAATAAAACCAAAAACATAGAGAACAAACAACGTCATCAAAATTACATAGAAAGAAAGAAAGAAAGAAAAATCCAGTAAGCACAATCGCGATAACAGTGGGCGGGCCACATGTACAGGATAAAACAATTAAAAGACTCTAATGAGATAAAATAGGACCAGGTTGTTTGTAGGGAGCTCATAAAAACAGAGTTGTGAAACTAAACTTCCCATTTGGAAGACGTATACTCCAGTGGCAGAAGCGTTGAGGGGAGCAATAATATCATGTTGTACACCTACTCTCCAAAGGCGCAGCGGAAGAGCCAGGTTTTAAGGTTCTTTTTGAACGTTTCTAATGAAGGAGCTTTCCTGATCTCTCCAAGTAATGAGTTCCAAAGCACATAAATAGCGCTTTGGATATGGCATTTGACTAGAATGGTGATACTGGGTTAATACTTTTTTAATTGTTTTAATTAATGTGCTATTTATTGTTTTAATTGTTGTTATATTGCTTTGTTATATTAAATGCATTAAAATTGTGCCAAATGTAGGCTGTCCTGAGTCCCCTTTTGGGAGTTGAGAAGGACGGGGTAGAAATACTGGATGTTCTGTCGTGCGCTGGGCCTGTAAAGAATTTCCTTTAGAACAGGACGTGCAACCTTTGCCCAGCGGGAAGCCAGGGGCCCAAGCAGAAGTTCTCAGAGGTTTTCCACCACAAATGACCATTAGATGGCTTGTGAAGTATAACAAAGTCTTTTATTAATGAACAATCAAACAGAAACTTCTCTTGTCTTCAATAAAGCTAAACAAATGCTTCCAGGCTTTCTGCAACTGGTGACTTCCTAATCTTGCCCATGAAGGACAGGCAACTGTCTTCAATAACTTCTTTTTTACTTTAAATGGAAAATCCCCCTTTTAACTTCTCCCAGGCTGACTGTAATCTAACCCTTACTGATGTGGGTTCCGCTACCGGGTTGAACTGCGTCTCGAAGCACCGAGTGGACCTACAAGTAAAGGCTTAGATATTCTCCAGCTGGAGTTCTTTGGTCTTTAGGGCTGTTTTCCTGGAAATCTTTGGAGACTCTTAAGACTGTTCTTCCCCGTAAGGTCTTAAGGGTTGAAGCTTTTGTACAGGGGAAGCTTGCACAGGTCCTGTACATTAGCTTTCCTTGCTGAGACTGACTAAAAAATGGCTCCCTTCCCTTCCCAATTGCCTTGAGCAAGGGGCGGGACCAAAACTTAATGATGATGGACAGATGACATGCCCTATGACTGCAGCCAAAGGAAGCCACTATCTGCAGAGTCTTTGAAACCTAGGACTGCAAACAAACATTTAATACAAAGCAAATAAAGTTGGAGCTTCTGGTACAGCCGTACCAGCACACTGGAAATAAATAATATATAATAGTAGCACCAGAGTGCACAAGAACAAAGCCAGAGGAGTCCTAAAGTAGCAAGCAAGGGTTTAACTACAGGCAGTATCCAAGTTATGAACAAGATAGGCTCACACACACACAATGCATACACATACGTTCTGGTGCAGCTATATGACTCCTGAAATCACCAGTGCCATTCGAAAGCCCAAGTCACAAGCCTTTGTACAAGCATTTCAAGGTGAAAAGGCAAGGCGCTAATCTAGGCGTTCAGATCAACCCATGTCATGTTTCTTCTTCCTTTTCAAAATTTACAGCTTTATCCCTCATGAGTGGATTTGTGGGCTATGAGCCGATTCATGCAGGTAAGCTGTACACTTCCTCTTCTCGTTAACATCTGGTGCCGTTTGCCTTTGTTCCAATCCGTTTCCTTTCCAGCCAGAGCTATTGTGGCATGTCAGAGATACCGGAGAATCCTCATGGGATGGGATCATAGTGCCTCTGGTGTGGTTAATGTCTCTGATGAAATACATTGAGTTCACTTGTGCTATCAAAGATTCAGTTTTTTTTAAAAAAAGTTTCTCAACCTGGGGGTTGGGACCCGGGGGGGGGGGGTCACGAGGAGGTGTCAGAGGGGTCACCAAAGGCCATCAGAAAATACAGTATTTTCTGTTGGTCATGGAGGTTCTGTGTGGTAAGTTTGGCCCAATTCTCTCATTGGTGGGGTTCAGAATGCTCTTTGATTGTAGGTGAATAATTTAAAGTGCTGGTGTTGACTTATAAAGTCCTAAACAACTCTGGCCCAATTTACCTGTCCGAACGAATTCTCCCCTATGAACCATCAAGGTTGTTAAGATCTTCTGGAGGGGCCCTGCTCTCGGTCCCACCACCCTCACAATCGCGTCTGGTGGGGACGAGGGACAGGGCCTTCTTGGTGGTGGCCCTTCGGCTCTGGAACTCACTCCCACTGGAAGAGACTTTTAGAAAGCTGGTGAAAACTTGGCTCTGGAATTTAGCATTTCATGAGTGAGTCAATAACTCTTGACCACACGGACAGATGGTGATGAATTGTGATTTCATTCTGATGACTTGGCCTTATGTAATTATATGATTGTATTTTAATGTATTTTATGTATTAGTGCATTATGTGGTGTCATATTTTAAACTACTGTTTGTGAATTTTTTGTGGTGAACCGGCCTGAGTCCCTCTGCGGAGGTTAAGAAGACCAGTATATAAAAGTTCTAAATAAATAAATAATAATAAATAATGAACTATAAATCCCAGGAACTACAACTCCCAAATTTCAAGGTCTATTTTCCCCAAACTCCACCAGTGTTCACATTTGGGTATATTGAGTATCTGTGCCAAGTTTGGTCCAGATCCATCATTGTTTGAGTCCACAGTGCTCCCTGGATATGGGTGAACTACAACTCCAAAACTCAAGGTCATTGTCCATTAAACCCTTCCAGTATTTTCTGTTGGTCATGGGAGTTCTTTTTCCTAAGGTTGGTTCGATTCCATTGTTGGTGGATTTCAGAATGTTCTTTGATTGTAGGTGAACTATAAATCTCAGCAACTACACCTCCCAAATGACAAAATCAATCTCCCCAACCCCACTAGTATTCAAATTTGGGTGTATCGGGAATTTGTGCCAAATGTGGTCCAGTGAATGAAAATACATCCTACATATCATATATGTACATTGCAATTCATAACAGTTACAAAATTACAATTGTGAAGTAGCAACAAAAACAATGTTATGGTTTGGGGTCACCACAACATAAAGAACTGTATTAAGGGGTCACGGCATTACGAAGGTTGAAAAACACTGGTTTAAAAGGTGCTGCAAGATCCCTTTGTATATTAAAAAAAATGTATCTTTGAATTCTTGTTTACGAGTGCCTTGTTTCCTACAAATCTTCACACCTTTGAGATGTTTGCCAGTTGTGGTTTCAGTGGGTCTGCTCCAAGTTGTAACCAGAATTATTGAGAAGCTTTTCAAGGGGCTAAACCTGATACCAAAACATGCTCAGGGCCTTGAGTGGCTCCTTTAAATATTTGGAGTGGATACTCAGCTCCCACAGATGTGGAAGCCATCTGCCACCATTGATTTTGCATGAGTTAACCCTCTTGAGATCCACATAAAGGCTGTATCTACCCATATCTCCCATGGCTATAGATGTCTTCCATGAATGGTTTTTGAATGTGTACATGTATGCATTGTGTGTGTGTGTATGTATGTATAATACCTTTGTGCGGATGTATGTTTATGTACACACACACATACATACAATACACACACACACATATACTGAGATTGGAATACCTTTGGTGTCTTGCAGATGGATAAATTGCCCCTTTGAAGGCCCCGTCTACGCTGCTGTGTAATTCAGTTTCATACCGCATTATATGATACTGTAAATGGGGGCCAAAGTTTTTGGACTTCTTTTGTTCAGTGTGGAAGTTCAAGGTTGTGGAGGTGGCACCATTGCACACAAAAAGGCATATTGTCTATTAGATGTATATTATATTGCTCCTTAGATGTATAATATATAATCCATTAGATGAGGCATGGGCAAACTTCGGCCCTCCTCCAGGTGTTTTATTCATTTATTTCCGACATTTATATGCCACCCTTTTCACCCGGAAGGGGACTCAGAGCAGCTTACAAGATATATTTATTTATATCTATATAAATAAAAATGTAATGTTCGTTTGTGGGTTTAACAGAACTCAAAAACCACTGGACGAATTGTGGCCAAATTTGGACAGAAGACAACTAACAACCCAATGTATGTCCTTCACTGAAAAAAATGATTTTGTCATTTGGGAGTTGTAGTTGCTGGGATTTATAGTTCACCTACAATCAAAGAGCATTCTGAATCCCACCAATGATGGAATTGAACCGAACTTGGCACACAGTTCTCCCCTGACCAACAGAAAATACTGGAAGAGTTTGGTGGGTAGTGTCCTTTGGAGTTGTAGTTCACCTACATCCAGAGAGCACTGTGGACTCAAACAATGATGGATCTGGACCAAACTCTACAAAAATACTCAATATGCCCAAATGTGAACACTGGTGGAGTTTGGGGGAAAGAGAATCTTGATATTTGTGAGTTGTAGTTGCTGAGATTTATAGTTCACCTACAATTACAGAGCATTCTGAACCCCACCAACGATAGAATTGGGCCACACCTCCCACACAGAACCCTCATGTGGGCCACAGCAACGCGTGGCAGGGGATGGCTAGTACAATATATTATATATTATCTGGCTACCAGTATTAAAAAACTCTGAAATTGCAACAGCACAATAACAGAGAGGAAGCAGGCAGGGACATCTAATTATGAGGGGTATTTTAAAAGTAAGGTCCGTTTGAACATAAGTACACAACGAAAGTTTATTTCAAAAAAGTAAATTTATTTTCAGAAAGTACATACTTCACTCTATTTTTCGACATATTGCCAAGTTTGTTCAAACATTTATCATACCTCTGAACCAATTTTAAAATACCCTCTTCACGAATCTTCGCTTCAACTGAAGCTACCAAATCGTCTGTAATCAAAGAAGGGCGACCTGAGTGGTCCTCATCATGGACGTTGCCACGACCATCTTTGAATTGTCGTACTCACTTACGCACTTCGCTTTCACTCATAACAGTACCACAGTACACTTCACAAATCTGTCGATGAATTTCTGCAGCAGGCAGGTTCCTTGCTGACAAAAACTGTATCACTGAGCGAACCTCACATGCGGTGGGTGAGTTGATAGTCTTAAACATTTTTAAAGCACAGAACAGAACCGTACAGGTTAGCTACAGAGCGGAAACTGAGCACAGTTGTTCCCGAGGCATGCCGGTACACGACGCACACGCCTGTTGCGGTATGCGCGTGAACTACTAGTGGCTACAACAAAACGGACCTTACTTAAAAAATACCCCTTGTACCTCTCAACAAAAGTTTGCTCCAGGCACAGTCAGCCCATTGTATGCTAATCAAGGTGGTCAGTTGAAACATTCACACCTAGCTTCAGCAGACAAGAGTCCTTTGTTTCACCCTGGTCATTCCACAGATATATAAACCCCTTTTTCCTAGTTCCAACAGACCTCACTACCTCTGAGGATGTTTTCCATAGATGCAGGTGAAACGTCAGGAGAGAATGCCTCTAGACCATGGCCATACAGCCCGAAAAAACCTACAACAACCCACAATATATTATATTATTAGCATAGTACAATATCAGCATTATATACTATTATATTATACTATACAATTATATTGTAATGTTATTAGTAATATTACATGTAATATAAAATATATAATTATAATATCGTATTATTATTAATATTATATTATATTACATTGTAATATCATAAATATTATATGTATATACAATATATTATATACTGGCTGTTGTGGGAGTTGAAGTCCTAAACACCTGGAGGGCCAAAGCTTGCCCATGCTTGCATTAGATGTGTAATATTATATTGCCCGTTGGATGTACATGGGTTTCGCATGGATACAACTTCTTTACCACTTGTTGATGTACAAAATGCAAGGTTGCCCGCTTGCATGTGCAAATCTGTTGTCTTGTCTGAGTTGTGCAACATTGCCGCAGCATTGCATAACATATTTAATGTGCGACTCTGCATTTGGAGATAGCAGCCATGATGAAAAACATTCTTTCTATGTGCCACTTGCGACTTCCCAGGCTATTACCAGATGGTGATCAACTTCTACTATGGGGGGAAACTGGTGGGCAGCACCACCACCACACGGCCCGAGGGCTGCCGGATCTCCCTGGGCGAGTCCCCTTTCTCCCTGGAGACCTTGGAGCATGTGCGGTTCCCCTCGGCGGACGTGATTGCCAACGACCGCCAGAGGCAGATCACCAAGAAGCTCTTTGGGCACTTGGAGAGGGGCGTCCTGCTCCATTGCAACAAGCAGGGCATCTTCATCAAGCGGCTGAGCCAGGGACGGGTCTTCTGGAGCGGCAACACCATGCCCTGCAAAGACAAGCCCAACAAGCTGGACCGAGACGAGGTGGTCAGCATCTTCGATACAAACCACTTCCTCCGAGGTTCGTGAGAAAATGGTATTTTTGTTTTTAAAACGATTGCTATGTTTTCTTGAGAGTCTACACCAGGGCCATATCCTCCAACATTGCAACATCCTCAACATCAGAGTGTGGTCAGGAGGAGAAAAGGCAGTCATGAGGAAGAAGACACAAATGAGAGAAGCTGCAGCAGTTGACTTTTGCCTGGGAAGGGCAAGAGACAAACTATTTGGCATTTTGAATTCAGTTTGCAGTGGCATTGGTTTTCCATGTCAGAAGCAACTTGATAAACTGCAAGGACATTGCCCAGGGGACACTGCCCGGATGTTTTGATGTTTTACCATCCTTCTGGAAGGTTTCGCTCATGTCCCAGTATGGGGAGCTGGAGCTGACAGAGGGAGCTCATCTGCATTCCCCAGATTCGAACCTCCAACCTGGGAGAGTGAAATTGGGGCATTTAAAATGCAGGATGATAGAAGATCAAGGAGGACTATATCTCTGCCAAATTAGGGCAATTGGAGGATATACAGTACCAGTTTTTGATGCCATTGACTTAAGCCTAAAGCATGCTGTTACTTCTGATTTAGCTAACCTTGATAGATACATAGATAGATAGATAGGTAGGTAGATAGATAGATAGATAGATAGATAGATAGATAGATAGATAGATAGATAGATAGATAGATAGATGGATGGATGGATGGATGGATATAGACAGACCAACAGATAGACAGGTTTATCTATTTTGTGGGTATATCTATTTTGAAAGAGGATCAAACTAAGGCCCCTTCTACAGCGCCATATAATTCAGATTATCAAAGCAGATAATCCACATTATTGGCTTTGAACTGGATTATATGAGTCTACACTGCCATATAATTCAGTTCAAAGCAAATAATCTGGATATCATATGGCAGTGTAGAAGGGGTCTAAGCCTACCTTATTCAACCATGTTTTGACCTTTTTGGATAGATAGATAGATAGATAGATGGATGGATGGATGGATGGATGGATGGATGGATGGATGGATGGATGGATGGATGGATGGATGGATAGATAGATAGATAGATACTATAGATAGATGTTGTTGTTGTTGTTGTTGTTATGTTGATGCAATAGATAGACAGACAGATATAGATATAGGTATGGTTGGAATGCAGTTTGATGATTGGTTGATGGGTTCTGATGGTCCAATGTCAGCTAGACATTGATATAGATAGATAGATAGATAGATAGATAGATAGATAGATAGATAGATAGATAGATAGATATATTGTGGGTGTTGCAGGAGGGACAGACTACGTCCAAAACATTTGGATGCCTTTTTCTAGCATTCTGGGAGTTATAATCCCACCGAGTAACTTTCCCAAGCTCTGTGCCTGTCATTGCACTGTGTGCAGATAGCATCCATGGACCTTCGTTGCCATTGCGTTATTGCCCCATCAGCTCTTGTGCTTCCAGATATTCTGTGCCCGAGTATTTCTTACTAACATGAAATGCTTGTCTCCTTGTAGAGCTTCACCAGTATTATAACAACCAAGGCCGGTTCCCAAGCAGCAAAGTAATTCTGTGTTTTGGGGAGGAGTTTCCGGACGCCACTCCCTTGCGCTTCAAGCTGATTCTTGTGGAGGTAAGCAATGCCTCCTGGACTGGTGTTGGCTCTTTCTACCCTTGGTTACTAATATTAGCCCTGATTATGTCTTGCCTAAGAAAACTCTGTGAGATTTATGGGGCCACCATAAGTCAACAGGAGACCTGAAGGCACACACAGAGAACAGTCTAATATGAAGGATAAGCAATGCCTGCATTGTGTTATCATAGACTTCCTGATTGCCTGCAATAGTGTTATATTAGGGTGCATCTAAACTGTAGAATGAATGCAGCCTGACATAACTTGAACGCTCATGGCTCCATGCTGTTGAGTCCTGGGAATTGTAGATTTATAAGGTCTTTAGCCTTCTCTGCTGAAAGTGGTGCATCTCCAAACTACATTGCTCCACGATCCCATAGAAGTAATGTCTAAGGAGCTGCATGCTGCTGCTCCTTAGAGTCATAGAATCATAATGCCATCAAAGGAAAGCATAAAGTTCTCTTCCTCCTCCACTTCTCCTTTTCTCTTCCTCCTCCTCTTCTTCTCCTTCTACTTATTCCTCCTCTTCTTCTTCTCTCGTCTTCTCCTTTCTTCTTTTTCTCCTTCTTCCTCTCCTTCTCCTTCCTCTTTCTCATCTTCTTCTCTTTCTCCTTCCGCCTCCTCCTCTTCCTCCTTTTTTAGTCTCCTTTCTTCTTCTACCTTTCCTTACTCCTCCTCTTTTTCTCTTCTTCTTCTTCTTCTTCTTCTTCTTCTTCTTCTTCTTCTTCTTCTTCTTCTTCTTCTTCTTTTCTTTCTCCTCCTCCTTCTCCTCTCCTTTCTCCTCCTCCTCCTCCTCTTTCCTCCTCTCCTTTGTCTTCCACCTCTTCTTCTTTTCCTTTCTACTTCTCCTTCCTTCACCTCCTCCTCTTCTCCTTTCTTCTATCTCCTCCTCTCCTTCTTCTCTTTTTCCTTCTTCTCTTTTTCCTCCTCCTCTGTTTCTTCTTTCTTCTTCCTCCTCCTTTTCCTCCTCTCCTTTCTTCTTCATTTCCTTCCTCCTCTTCTTTCTTCTTCTTCCTCCTCTCCCCTTCTTCACTTTTTTTCTCCCTCTTCTCCTTTTTCCTCTGCTTTCTTCTTCTACTTCCTCTTCTTCTCCTTTCTTCTTCCTTCTCCTCCACCTCGCCTTCTTCTTCTGCTTCTTCCTCTCCTCCTTTCTCTTCCTCCTCCTCCTCCTCTTCTTTTTCTAGTACTACATCTACTCCGGATGAGCTTATGAAAGTCACACTGTCTCAGCGTCAGAGGAAAGCAAAGGCACCCTAGGATTCCCCATCCCTGGCATTTTTCCCCATCCCTGCATATTTTCTCCTCTTCTGATTCCAGATTGAGCAGCTGAGCATCCGGCAACTGGTGGAGGAAGCCGGGAAAAGCGACAGCAACACGGTGGGCCATGTGATGGTGGACGATGGGCATTACGACCCCATGTACCGGAACTTCCAGGACTCCTGCGTGCCCCACCAAAGAGCTCTTTTCAGAGAACACCAGCAGATCACCGTCTGAGGCTTCTTGGTGGATCCTTTGTTGTGGTCAAAACCCATATTGTGTGCCTGTGTAATATGCTTATGTCACATGAAGCTATTTTCCTTTTGGTCACTGAATGTTCAGAGGTGTTACAGGGTATCCAGAATTTATTATATGGAGATGGTGAATATAGGAGTGCTTTCTGCGACCGGATAAAGTTGCTTTTTTGAGCTCAAACACCCAGAATCCCACAGTTAATGTGAATCGGACCCTATGAAAGAAAGTGTAAAATATGTAGTATATTCTCATTAAGCTTTGTTAATGAATGCAATGTTCCCAGAAACCAATGCATTTGCAAAAGGTGCTTCCACAAGTAATGGAAAGAAATGTTTGTCATCAATCTGTGCTTTTCTCCAATTCAGTATCTTCTATTTAACATGCTTTGTTTTGTAATTGCACATTGGAAAGGTGAACATCGTGTGTGTTCCGGTTCAGATTGAGTGCATATGATCGCATTTTAGCAATAATCGTTTGCAATAATCTAGGTTCCTTTGTTTTATAAATGGGGTGCCTGGTGCATTCATAGCCAAAAAAGAAAGGGGAAGGATTGCTTTGATCCAGTGCTGCTTTTTGCATATGCAAACGATGCCGCTCTATAACAGAAAGCAGATCATAAAAGTGAAATGTTAGCCTGATATTTATTTTCATTGCTTGTTTAAAATATGTTTTGTGATTGTTCTACGAAATGCATCTGCAAATAAATACTTGCCTTTTGTAAACTATTGTCTCTGCTTTTGAAGTCGAGCATGCCCCCCCCCCCATTAAGGGATGGTAACTTATAGTTCTGCAAAGGGCAAGGGTACCAGACTGCAAAAAGGGGTTAAGTTTTGGTCAATTTGCCAAAACACTAGCAACAACAAGGACCCCATAAGGCTTTCAGGGAAGAGCCTGGCCTTGGGGTCCCAGTCCTTGGAGGAAGTTATAGTTTCCCAAGGACTAAGGACCAGCTTGATCTTGGCACCGCAAGAATCCATTCCTTGGCTCAGTGGAGATTATCAAGCACCCTTTTGTGACTGTTGGACTTTCTTCAATTTCTTTTTGGCTCTAATGAACTCATTTTGGCTCTTTTTTGGCTCTAATGAACTCACATCTGAACTTCCCCAGTATGAACTATGGACACATGTTTTATTAAAATTATTATTTTAATCAATTTCTCTGGCGGGCAGGGGGTGGGGAGGGATGCTTGATATGAATTTCTTTGGATTCCTATATTTCCCCATGGATTTTTCCTTATTTTTGCCCTGGCACCCAACCCCTTCCCCTCTTCGAGAAGGGGGAGCCAACGAGGAAGTTGCCCTTTGGCGCTGAAAAGGTCAATCAGCAATCACAAAAACCCCATATCTTGGAACTCTTGCATGGACAATAGAACTTGAAATTCCTATTTGATTTTGGAGTTGGCACCGTCAAACTGGAATTTTCTTTGGCAAACTTTTTATCATTTCACAATGGGAGCGAGACGACTCTCAGGAGGTGGCTTTCCCCAACTTTGTGTACTTCTTTCAAAACTCTTCATAGCAAACATCCACCCCAAGCCTCACCTTTGTGCCTTATCTGATCATAGCAGGAAAACTCGGATCAAGTAATCAACACCAATCACCCACCCATCACATAACAATAGAAGTTGATTTCTCTAGCTGGCCGATTTCCCGGATGCAGGAAACTCAGGACATTGGATTTCCAAAATCCTATCATAGATGGTTTGTTTCTTTTCCGTCCCGCCTCCCTCTTCCTGATTTGCTGAAGTGCCAGAGCGATGGGAGCTTCCTGATAGGCTCCCGTGCAGCGGAGGAGCCCTGTGATTGGTCCTGGCGAAGGGAGGACGGCCGAGCCTCCTCCCAGCTGTTATCTGGCCAGCCAATCACCAGTGAGCTGGGCAGGAAGCGGGAGTTTTGAAACTTTCAAACCTGTAAATTCCTATAAAAATGCCTCTGATCTCTGTAACCACATGCTCTGTAGGCGAATGATTGCTACATTGCATCCTTTTCAGCTGTATCGCTAATAAAAACACCTCGGTGCCGCTTCTTCAACTTTGGTGAAGTTTATTTCGAATTTTTAATTTAATAAAATTGCTGAAATCAGGCTTCTCTAGCTCTCCAAAATAGCAATCCCTCTTTGGTGGGGTCCCAGGGTCCCTCCTCCTGGGGAAGACCCCCCCTAAAGTTCCCATCGGCTTCACTTTCTCATGGAATAAAACAAACCTGGTGGTTCTATTATTTGAGAATATTTATCCTGTTGAAGGAGGCTGAGTTTTTGAATGTGTTTCAGTATGTCTTTTAGTGAACTTGGACCGGAGAACTTGAAAACAGAGAAATGGAGGAGATTTTCATATTTGGAAGAGCATCCTTTGTAAAATAAGGGATGTGGTCATTTTAGTTAGTAGTATGATTGCCATCAAACACACAAACAACTCACAATAGTTTGAGCTGCACACTTGCCTTGTTTTGCCTTTATGACCCAGGTTCTGCAAAGGAGTGATCCACGTGTTGGGTTCATTGTTTATTTCCAATACAACCCTGCAGAAAAATCTCTCTCTTGGGTTGCACTTACAAGGGTACACCATGCAGGAGAATTATGGAAAAAATAGACCCATGTCTGATCCCACAGCAAGCTGGCTTCAGGAAGGGCAAAAGCTGCACATCGCAAGTGCTGAACCTGACTCAGCACATTGAAGATGGCTTTGAAAGGCAGCAGATCACAGGAGCTGTCTTCATAGACCTGTCAGCAGCCTATGATACTGTGAACCACCGCCTCCTCCTGAGAAAAATGTATAATATCACAAAGGACTACCACCTCACCCGCTTCATAGGAAACCTGCTACAAAACAGGAGCTTTTTTGTTGAGTTCCAGGGCCAGAGAAGCAGATGGCGGAAACAGAAGAACGGCCTGCCTCAGGGGAGCGTGCTTGCTCCATCCATGTTCAACTCTACACAAATGACCAGCCACTGCCAGAAGGGACAGAGAGTTTCATCTATGCTGATGATCGTGCCATTACTGCTCAAGCAGGGAGCTTTGAGATGGTAGAACAGAAGCTTTCCGAAGCTCTAGGTGCTCTTACTGCCTATTACAGGGAAAACTAGCTGACCCCCAACCCATCTAAAACACAGACATGTGCTTTTCATCTCAAGAACAGAGAAGCATCCCGAGCTCTGAGGATCACCTGGGAAGGAATCCCACTGGAGCATTGCAGCACCCAAATACCTGGGAGTCACTCTGGACCGTGCTCTGACCTACAAGAAGCACTGCCTGAACATCAAGCAAAAAGTGGGTGCTAGAAACAATAGCATACAAAAGCTGACTGGTACAACCTGGGGATCACAACCAGACACAGTGAAGACATCTGCCCTTGCGCTATGCTACTCTGCTGCTGAGTATGCATGCCCAGTGTGGAACACATCTCACCACACTAAAACAGTAGATGTGGCTCTTAATGAGACATGCCGCATTATCACGGGGTGTCTGCGCCCTACACCACTGGAGAAATTACACTGCTTAGCTGGTATTGCACCACCTGACATGCCGGGAAGTAGCAGCCAATAGTGAAAGGACCAAGGCAGAGACATCTCCAGCTCATCCCTTGTTTGGGTATCAGCCAGCACGTCAATGACTTAAATCTAGAAATAGTTTTCTAAGATCTACAGAGATACTCGCTGGAACACCTCAGCAAGCGAGAGTCCAAAAGTGGCAGGCTCAAACCCAGAACCTCAACCAATGGCTGATACCACATGAGAGACTCTCCCCTGGGCACACAGAAGACTGGGCGACTTGGAAGGCGCTGAACAGACTGCGCTCTGGCACCATGAGATGCAGAGCCAACCTTAAGAAATGGGGCCACAAAGTGGAATCCTCGACATGCGAGTGTGGAGAAGAGCAAACCACTGACCACCTGCTGCAATGCAACCTGAGCCCTGCCACATGCACAATGGAGGACCTTCTTGCGGCAACACCAGAGGTACTCCAAGTGGCCAGATACTGGTCAAAGGACATTTAATCAACTACCAAGCTTGCAAACTCTGTGTCTTTTGTATGTTTGTTTGTTCTGTCAAAAATGTCTGGGATGCTTTGAGTATAATTTTCCTGCTTCTTGGCAGGGGGTTGGACTGGATGGCCCATGAGGTCTCTTCCAACTCTAGGATTCTATGATTCTATGATATAAGATCGGCCTCCTCCCTCCTGACTTTTCGAAAAAAGGTGAAAACCTGGCTTTTTGAGCAGACCTTCCCAAATGCAGCGTAATTATACGAAATCATGGAATGACTTGACGATGCAATCTACTAATGCATCACGACAATGTTTTTATGGCTTTGTACGGTTATTTTAAATTGTTATATTTTATGCTAAATGTTTTTAACAGTATTTTATGATTGTTTTATTTGTTCACGATTGTGGAGGCATCAATTGTGAAACGCCCTGAGTCACCCCTGGGTTGAGAAAGACGCTATATAAATGTGGTAAATAAATAGATAGATAGATAGATAGATAGATAGATAGATAGATAGATAGATAATCCCATTTGTCTAGCTTCCAACAGATCTCACAACCTCTGAGGATGCCTGCCATAGATGTGGGCAAAACATCAGGAGAGAATGCTTCTGAAATATGGGCAGACAGCCTGGAAAACTCACAGCAACCCAGTAGGAAAGAAACCCTCTAAAGAGGCTTGTTTTCGGAAACTGTCTGAAATGGCAACCTAATTCCAGGCAAGTGTGCAAAAAAAAAAAAAAACACTGTTGATTTTCTCACACATATTTTCACACATTTGAGAAAGGAGGCACCAGAAGTCAGGAGGAAACAGATGCAGCTCTGGGTTCAGCAGTTTGGCTGAAAGAGGGTTTGCTCCTTTGAATCAAGCGTGGCTGTTTTTCCTACCAATTTGCTTTTACCTTCCTGGGATGTGATGCAATAAAATCATAGAATCATAGAATCAAAGAGTTGGAAGAGACCTCATGGGCCATCCAGTCCAACCCTCTGCCAAGAAGCAGGAATATTGCATTCAAATCACCCCTGACAGATGGCCATCCAGCCTCTGTTTAAAAGCCTCCAAAGAAGGAGCCTCCACCACACTCCGGGGCAGGGAGTTCCACTGCTGAACAGCTCTCACAGTCAGGAAGTTCTTCCTCATGTTCAGATGGAATCTCCTTTCTTGTAGTTTGAAGCCATTGTTTCGCGTCCTAATCTCCAGGGAAGCAGAAAGGAAGCTTGCTCCCTCCTTCCTGTGGCTTCCTCTTACATATTTATACATGGCTATCATATCTCACCTTAGCCTTCTCTTCTTCAGGCTAAACATGCCCAGCTCCTTAAGCCGCTCCTCATAGGGCTTGTTCTCCAGACCCTTGATCATTTTAGTCGCCCTCCTCTGGACACATTCCAGCTTGTCAACATCTCTCTTGAATTGTGGTGCCCAGAATTGGACACAATATTCCAGGTGTGATCTAACCAAGGTGGAATAGAGCATGGGTAGCATTACTTCCCTGGACCTAGACACTATGCTCCTATTGATGCAGGCCAAAATCCCATTGGCCTTTTTTGCCACCACATGACATTGTTGGCTCCTGTTCAAAGATCTTGAAGTCCTGTCTACGAGGACTTCAAGATCTTTTTCACATCTACTGCTCTTGAGCCAGGCACCCCCCTTCTGTATCTTTGCATTTCGTTTTTCCTGCCAAAGTGGAGGAAAGGCGTTCCACAGTCCAGGGGCCACCACTGAGAAGGCCCTGTCTCT